ACTTGATTGTGTCAGGTGGATAAGGGTCCTGATCGATAACTCAGTTTCTACTTGATTTCTGAACCTTGATGGTTCTGATAGGTATTCCATGGTTATGTACCATGCCTTGATAGTCCTCAACTATACAAAACTGATTAGAAACTGAACCTATCCTGCTGCTAGTCACCAGCGTAGGGTGAAAGTACTTTTGGTACGTGATTTGATGATCACGTCTAGCTTGAATGGATCTATCAAGGAACTTAAGGAAAACAAGATGTAAGAAGAGAAAACTACCGTTGCGAAACTGTCGGTTGAAGAACCGCTGCACCATCGTGTAGGAAGCCCGACGGATTCCTCCCCTTGTACGAAGCCGAAGTCAGGTCACACTTGGAGTACTGCGTGCAGGCTTGGGCACCCTTCTTCAAAAAGGATGCAGCATGTTTAGGGAATGTCCAAAGACTAGCTACCGGAATGATTGAGGGCCAAAAGGGTAATTCATACCAAGAGAGACTAAAAGACTTGAGACTCTTCTGGCTAGGAAGGAGAACAATAAAGGGAGACTTACTGGAGACCTGCAAGATTGTGAAGGGGCTCTCGGGAGTAAAGAAAGAGAGCATGTTCCAGGAGGCTATTTACCAAGGGACTAGAGGGAACTGTTTCAAACTGAATAGGCAGCAGTGCGACCTGGTTGTTAGGTCCAGCTTCTGCAGTAACAGAGTAGTGAACAGTTGTAACCGGTTATCAAAGGAATTAGTAGATTTAGAAAGCGAGACTGCATTTAAGCTTGCTCTGGATGAGCAATGGCTGTAGCTCTTTCCAGAATAGGATTTTTAATGTACTATGGAAGGCCTTTATGACCCATGTCCCTTGTTCGCTGATGACGTGAAAGGAGACGCGCTTTTTCCTTTCCTTTTCAGCAAGGATGCCGTAACGAAGGCAATTCAGTTCAATTCAGTTCTGTATGCGCAGGACCAAATGTGGCTTCCAGTCAATCGAGCGTCCAGATTGTTGTGTTATTGGCGGGTGTTTGTAGCTTCCAACACTGCGTATTGCCGTATTTGCAGTGGTGGGTGCACACTATGTGAGCATACTGCCGGAAGAAATCTGGACGCTCGATTGGCCGTGAGTATTATCAGTCCTGTACAACCTGACCTGACATGACTTCGACGATTGAAGCACGAAGTATTGCAGAGAACGTCAAAATTTCAACCGCGTGTCAACGTACCACAAAACCCAGCTGGGTACTAGGGTAATTGCATGTGTGTAATAAAATGAAGTAACTTACCAAGCTTAAAGCAGTCATGTAGATCGCTGTCATTCAACATAGTTTAAATTTGTTTGAGCATTTCTTTAGTTTTATTGTCTGACCTTGAGGTCTTCTCCTATTGGTCCATTTACCGGTCCAATGAGTCATCCATTGTGCCTTCCAGCCTACGCTCTGCGTAGTGTGCTTTGTGTCTGGGGGTGTAGGGAATAGTTTTTCATGCAACTGTTACGCTGATGCCCGAAAACAGATGTGAGCTGGTGTTCATACAGAGTGGGGAATTAACGTCTACTAAGCCTTTACGTGTGATAACTCAGTACTCCAGCGCGGATGATATCAGTATGCAGTCTCCTGGTCGACCGACCAATCTAGGTGTTTGCCTGACCACCGTACAAACCACGAAGGATGTTAAAGAAGGACTGGCTGCATCAAGACTTCAGGGTATGGACGAAAACTCTCAGTCGTGGTCCGCCAAAATGGTTGACAACGGTGATTTTGAGAAACTGCTTGGACAACTTGGAAGTAATGGTTCTACCCCAGTCACTCCAACAAGCTTTTTAAATCCCCGGAATATCACAGAAGACCAAGAAATTTTTGCAGAGTGAGTTCAGTTCACTAGGTACCATATATGTACAAGCTTATGAGAAGTGTTTATCAAGTCGTGAACATTAATCGATCTATGTAAACCTGTTAATGCATGCCTCTGCTTTGTCGCCCTGTGAACCTAAACGAAGTTCCCATTGAAGTTTTTGGTTACTTGTGGTCTGATTACTTAAACTGTTCAGTCACAAGTTTTTAATTGTTTCCGCGGCGCATGTGGACGACAATCACCCTCCCCTTGCATTTTTATTTTCAAGTTAGATGTTGAATTTTTCACAATTATGTTCCCCGTGTCAAGTTTACTAA